AACACTGTATGAACATCGGATAACACTGTATGAACATCGGATAACACTGCATGAACATCGGATAACACTGCATGAACATCGGATAACACTGTATGAACATCGGATAACACTGTATGAACATCGGATAACTGTATGAACATCGGATAACACTGTATGAACATCGGATAACACTGTATGAACATCGGATAACACTGTATGAACATCGGATAACACTGTATGAACATCGGATAACACTGTTTGAAGTGTTGAATCGGTTGCATTGTGACGAATATGTTGGCTTGCTGGTTGCTGCAAGTAACAGCCTTTCTGATCAAGGCATTACTATCCAAGGTTGGCCCCTGGCTGTGCTTGAAAGTAGGAAAAACTCTTGAAACTGACTATAGGTATACTTCAGCCAGTTGTTAGCCAAGTTAGACAAAAGGAAGCACTCATGCACTGCACAGGTGATGAGGAGCTATAATGCACTAAAGGAAGAAGTTGTAGGTGCCTCCATTCACATCTCCAAGAGCAAATACGACATGGAACTTAGATTATTGGCTATTGTTTACAATGCAGCTGGTTCAAAAAGGTAGATGGCAGGGCATGAATACCTGAACCTCTACTCATTGTCACTGGTCAATACAATGCAGTACACGAAAACATGGCTATTACGTATAGACCTTGTAGCACACAATGATCATTGGCACCTTCTGTACTCGGTGCATCATTAATTTGTATTTTTGTTTTGCACATACCATGATCATCAATAATCAAAACACCTAGAATGGTCATAATGCCTTAAATTATTCATTGAAATATATGTAGTCATGAAAGTGTGTGAAGTTAAAGGGTGCAGAAGTATGTTATTACTGTACCTTCGCATTCTCGGTGTGCGCGCCTCGGCCTACCCCAAGGTGTGCCGAGCGTTTTGCGTGAGCATGCGGCCACGCTGAAATGTATATACTCTTTTCAGTTTCCTTGCCTCAATTTTCATTGTACTGTGTACGTCATTCATTTGGGTATCAAATTGTTCGCAGTAGAATTCCCTACAGGGAATATGCATATAAGGTCCAAAAGCCCGGCCCCTTTATTCCCCTCCCCCCCCCCCCCCCATCCACAGCAAAGCCAAAAGTCGGTCAAACGTTACCCGTGAGCAAGCCCCCATTGGCACACCCGCGCACAACTGTGTATACTCTTTTCAGTTTGATAACATCAATTTTCATGTTACATCATTCATTTTGGTATCAAATTGTTGGCAATAGAAATCTCTACAGGGGTATATACATACAAGTACCAAAACTATGGCACGCCCCACCTGCAGCAAAGCCAAAAGTCAGTCAGGTGTTACCCGTGAGCATGCACCCATTGACACGCCCACAACACCTGCACACAAATGTGTGTAGTCTTTTCAGTTTGATAACATCAATTTTTGTGTTACGTCATTACACACATTTTAAAACCCGTCCCATAATGATTGGATAAAAAATAGAATTTTAACATATTTTAATTTTAGACGCAACATGCGTCCCCACCGGACATCTGTAAATTTACTTACGGAATGCGTTGCCGCCGGATGAAAGTGTTAAACTTAATATAGCTCTTAGACAAAATGACACCTATAAATAAAGTCTACTATCATCTTAGTATTTCACTACGTAAATAGAGATCATTGGTATGTGCTGAATCAACGGTCTTGGACTGGTTCACACTGGCTGGTGATGTACACCACTGAGCTGCAATATTAGTGTCAGTCTTAGACTGGTGGCTACCTTGTGACAGTTCCGAGTATCAATGTTCCCGTAGCATGGTTTCTGACCAGGCTCCTTGGTTGGTCGGCTGATCAACGAGGCTGTTGGACATGGCTGCTCACAGCTTGACATAATAATCACAGCCAGATTGATGAGGTATCCTTTGGAGGTGTATATCAAGTTCTCTCTTGAACACCATGAGGTCAACCATCTATGTCCCTTATGTATATCGGGAAAGTGTTGAAGAGTCTAGGCCTTTGATGCTGGAGTTCTCTTTCAGCTTACCTATTGTGCACCTGCATTTTAATGAGGGTATTCTGCACATCCTGCCATGCCTTCTGGTCTCATGTGGTGTTATTTCTATGTGCAGATTTGGAACTAGTTCCTCTAATATTTTCAATGTGTAAATTATTATGGATCTTGCCTGCACTCTAAAGAATATAATTAGAAATTTTAATCGGTCCCAATAATTTAATGTTATGTAGAGTGGATTCTGGCAGTTGAGGATCTTTGCACGCTCTCCAAGTCAGCAATTTGTCCAGCTTTGAATGCGGCTGTTAGTTTGCAACAATAGTCCACCTTAGAGATCATTAGTGTCTAAAAGGTTTCATCATATGTATGGCTTCCCTTATTTGGAAGGTAATTTTTCTTGCAGTCGTGACAGCCACTTTATTGTGTTCTGGAAAGGTAAGGCCTTTTGACATATTACTCCTAGATACTTTACATTGCTTTTTCGCTATATAGTTTGAATTGTGGTTCATACTGACTGATACTGTGCACCACTATGCTGCAATACTTGTCAACTTTGGACGGGTTTGCATGGGCAAGAAGAAACCTTGACAAAGGGATGCTTGGGCAAGGGGTGAGGAAGGAAGCTTGGGTTAAGGGTGGGGGGAAGGGAAAAGCTTGGGCAAATGGCGAGGAAGGAAGTTTATGTATGGGGTGGGGTAAGGAAGATTGGGTAGGGAGTGGGGGGGGGGGGAACTTGGGCATGGGGTAGGTAAAAGCTTGAGCAAGAGGCGGGGAAGAAAGCTGGAGAAAGGGGTGGGAGGGGAAACTTTGATATGGGGTCAGGAGGGAAAGCTTGGCTAAATGAGTGAGAGGAAAATGGCAAAGGGCATAAGTAAGCCTGAACATGAGTTAGGAGTAAAGCCTGGTGAAAGGGTAGGGAGGGAAGCCTGAACAAGAAACATGGATAAGCCTGAGCATGGGGCATGAACAAGGAACATGGATAAGCCTGAGCATGGGGCATGAACAAGCCTGGGCAAGGGGCAAGATGAAAGCCTGAACAAACAGCATGAGTAAGCTTGAAAAATGGGGTGGTGGGGTGAAAGCTCAGGCAAAGGGGTGGAAAGCCTGAGCAGAGGGCATGAGTTAGCCTGGGCAATGGAGTGGGATTGGGCTGAGTGTGGGTAAGGTGATCCTCGGGAGGACTCGTGGCATGCTGCCAACATCTCAGGCAGGTCGAGGTTGTAAGCTGAAATAAATGTGTTGGTGTGTCAATTAAGATCTCTAATATGCATCACGTATATTTGGGAATATGTGTATTTGTTCTATGATGTAATATTAAGTATGCTGAGAGAGATTCTTCCCATTTTGATTAAAAAATGTGGTACTTTGCATTTGGGAATGCAAGTTTTTGAATGCAGTCATTCTCATTGTGACAATATTTATATATTCTAGTGAAAAACATTGAAAGCTAAGAAAAATGGATTTCTGTTGTAGATACACAGCATATCTGAATAATGTAACAATATGATATTGGCACATGTGTATTAGTTTTCAAATTTGTAACTTTAAATGTTAAATTAGTTAAATGATTACATGACGAGGAATCATTTGTAGCCTGGCTGTGTTTGTTGGATGTGGGTAACCTTGACTACAAACTTTTCTTGGTAGTGTGTGTCCATGACCTGATACTGACCGGCCCTGAGCGTCTGTATCGCGTGTCGTCGTGCCAGCTCATGTCTTTCCGATTATACTTGCCATTCCTGACATCAGCACTGAGAATTTTGTTGCTTCCATATCCAAAGTGGCTACCATCATCTAATACACATTATTATATTTGCAATTTTAACTTCAGTTCATAATGGAAAGTTTATTATTTCTTTTTTTTTTTGCAGGGCTTTTAATTATGTTATAACTGGAGGTAAATGATTGAGCAAACTTTGAATTAATTCCTAATTCAAGTTGTTAATCTCGGCTACTTAAGCATTTCTTTAGGCTACAGAATTCGGAAATTAATGCTGTAGTACAGTATGTGAAGTTAACATAGTGTTTTTAAATACCAGACATCAGTTGTCTTCTGTAGTTACTGTTGATGTATATAGTTACCGTGCACTTGCATATCTGGTTTATTAAATGTGAAGAAAAAACAACAAAGTTTTGGCTTGGTGTAGAGGTGGTAGTTGTGGATGGAGAGGGAAGGGGGGATGTGGTGGGGGATGTGGCAGTGGTGGAGGGAGGTAAGGGGAAGATATAGTGGAGAGGTAGCTGTGGTGGAGGGAGGGAGGGAGGGAGGGGATGTGGCAGTGGTGGAAGAGGGGGAGGTTACGGATGGTGGGAGAGAGGTGGCTCACTTGATGGCAGTCCTTGACAATTGGCCAGTGAGGCAGGTTACATACTGCACGATTCTCGGAAGTTTCTTGAACTGTGCATCCCTTACAAAGGTTATGGTTTTTAATGGAAAGTACCCTATTGGATTAATCTAAATACGACTAGCTGATGAAAATGTGATTTGGAAATTTTTGTCTAGTTGATGTAATGAAGAGTGCATATGATTGGCGGAGAAGAAGCATGGGCGATCGTGCATTAACTCATGTTTGGCGCTCCGAGTGTAATGGATGAATTGTGTTAAGTGGTGCATGATAATTGCACGGCTGGTCCGAGCAGTAATCATATCATAGCAAATTATTTTGGTCTCGGCATTACCTGTGATAAAATAATTGGAAGCATGGTGGTCCAAAATTATTTTCGAATCCCTCGGGAAGATGGTCTGATTGTGATGGCAATACGAGAAGAGGATTGGTTGAAGGAGCGGCAGCGGCGGTCTTGGGTCAAGTCCGTTGTGGCCAAACTTCTTGCTAGGTAACCATTCATTACCTTCACTCTAATTAAGAGGTACTGAAGGACTTATTAATGTACAGCATTAATATCTTAAGCAAAATTAATGAGAACTAGTGATTGTTCTTTGATGTTACAGCTTCATTTTAAACTGCAATACAGTACAGTACAGTACATTGAAAAATAATTAACTGGTACTTTTCTTTCCAGACGTTTGAGTTTGCGACCCACGGCTGAAGAATTAGAAGAAAGAAATATACTTAAAAGTAGGTTCATGTGTGCTGTGTAATCCCATTGTACTCTATAAATGTTCTACTATTGTTATTGATTTAATTTATTTTCTGTTTGTTAATGAAAATGTTAATAATATGCTTGAAATGACTTTAGATTTCATGGTTTGGGTAGGACTATTGCTTTTTTGTATCGAGTTTAGTCAATTAAGTTTATTTTTACTACAAGAATATATAATTTACAATACAGTATTGTATATTTTTTTAATCTAATGCACATTTTATGTATGTAATATACTGTGAAAATAAATAAATAATATATATATATATATATATATATATATATATATATATATATATATATATATATATATATATATATATATATATATATATATATATATATATATATATGCAATTGACGATCACAAAACACTGATCATTTCTGGTGTCTGGTTTCTGGAGTCTGGTGTTGACAAAGGCTTTAACAAAGCCGAAACGTTCACCTCCTTTCATATTTCTCTGTGGATTTTCCGCATATATATATATATATATATATATATATATATATATGTCGTACCTAGTAGCCAGAAGTCACTTCTCAGCCTACTATTCAAGGCCCGATTTGCCTAATAAGCCAAGTTTTCCTGAATTAATATATTTACTGTAATTTTTTTCTTATGAAATGATAAAGCTACCCTTTTCACTATGTATGAGGTCAATTTTTTTTTATTGGAGTTAAAATTAACGTAGATATATGACCGAACCTAACCAACCCTACCTAACCTAACCTAACCTATATATATAGGTAAGGTTAGGTTAGGTAGCCAAAAAAGCTAGGTTAGGTTAGGTTAGGTAGGTTAGGCAGACGAAAAAACATTAATTCATGAAAACTTGGCTTATTAGGCAAATCGGGCCTTGCATAGTAGGCTGAGAAGTGAGTTCTGGCTACTAGGTACGACATATATATATATATATATATATATATATATATATATATATATATATATATATATATATATATATATATATATATATATATATATATATATATATATATATATATATATATATATATATATACATATATACATATATATATATAAAATAAAATATGAGATTACATTTCTAAGATGGGACACAAATTTTTAGAAACGGTCAAAACACTACCCTTTTGGGGTGTACTGTATTTTATTACCTCGATAAACTTAGTTGAATTTGCATGTTGTAATTACCACCATTTCGGCAGGAACTACTCCTGAGGAAGCAAGAAAGCAGAAGGAAGAAAAAAGAAAAACCCTATTACGGAAGCTATCCTTTAGACCGACACTTGAAGAGCTTCGGGAACGGAAAGTGAGTACTGTATATACGGTAGACATGTTCAGACTGTCATGTAACTGCTTACTCTATTTGTTGTCTTGTGTAACAAACTTATTTTTTATTTAAATTTTAAATTTTGTCCCGAGGGGCGAGTTTATCGGGCAGCGCCACTCATCTTGTGAGTGGACAAACCGCCATAACAGCATGTACAACACTCCCCAATAGGAAGAAAACCCGCTGGGTTGTTCATCCTGTCACTTGTACCCAGACGCAGCTGGAACTTGCTTAACTGTCTCAAGTGAACAGCTCCTCAAACAAGAAGATTAACATGTTTATTTATTTATAATTACATTAGTGTCATGCAACTCCTTATTCTGTTGATTGTAATTTTGTTGTTCTGTTAAGGATGTGATGTTTCCTTCAAATTAATGTCGTCTTCAACAGAAGTAATTTTCATGCTGTTTTTTTGTGTCTGCAAAAGATATGAAACTGTGACTTGTATTTTTGTCTATATCTGATATGAGAATAAGGAAAAGCAGTGGTACAAGGACTGTACCCTGAGGTACAGAGCTTTTAACTATGTTTGGACTCGTTTTTATTTGACTGTTACTCTTTGTATTCTATCTGACAGAAAATTTAATATTCATTGCCCTACTTTTCCTGTTATTCCTCTTGATCTCATTTTGTGGCTGTCACTCCATGTTCCTTTATCAAACACCTTTGCCATGTCCATGTTTACCACATCTGCATTCTGTTTTTCTTTTAATGCATCAGTGATTTTGTCATAGATTTAGAACAGGAGGATCATGCTTTTCGCAGATCTGACTCCTGATCACTCTCTCAAAAACCTTTAATATGTGGGACTGGTTTGTAATTTTTAGCCAATGCTTTGCTCCATTCCTTTTATAGGGGAGTTTTATCTGTTGATTTAGGCACTTCTGGTATCTCCCCTTTATCCAGGCTCATCCTCCACACTACACTGAGTGCCTGTGCTACTGGCACTTTTCATTTCTTTATAAATATTAAATTCCATGGTAACACCACCACCTTGTGCCGTCTGTTGCCTGGTGGCACCATCCGCTGTACCATTTGTCTGTTACCTGGGGCTGCCACCTGCTTTAGAGAAGCATTCTGCCGATGATGTATTAAGAGTTGCTGAAGTTGGCAGCCACTTGGGCACCTCGCCATCTTGCGGGAGCCATTCATACGTCACTGTGGTTTGGTATGCACTGTCTGCTTTAAGAGTTGGATACATGACAACACAATGACACGAATGCAGTTTGTGCAAGCTTTGTCCTAATTTCACAGTCTATCTGGAGCTGTTCACACATCACTACGGATGCTTCGGTATGCACTGTCTGCTTCAGGAGTCGGATACGTCACACCACCATGATTATATGACTGTGCTATGCACAAGCTTCACTTTATAACCTGGATGTTTATGCCTGGGCATGCCAGGGTGCTCGTGTGCCCGGGCATGCCAGGGTGCTCGTGTGCCCGGGCATGCCAGGGTGCTCGTGTGCCCGGGCATGCTAGGGTGCTCGCCAGGGTGTCCGGGCATGCCAGGGTGCTCGCCAGGGTGTCCGGGCATGCCAGGGTGCTCGCCAGGGTGTCCGGGCATGCCAGGGTGCTCGCCAGGGTGTCCGGGCATGCCAGGGTGCTCGCCAGGGTGTCCGGGCATGCCAGGGTGCTCGCCAGGGTGTCCGGGCATGCCAGGGTGCTCGCCAGGGTGTCCGGGCATGCCAGGGTGCTCGCCAGGGTGTCCGGGCATGCCAGGGTGCTCGCCAGGGTGCCCGGGCATGCCAGGCTGCTCGCCAGGGTGCCCGGGCATGCCAGGCTGCTCGCCAGGGTGCCCGGGCATGCCAGGCTGCTCGCCAGGGTGCCCGGGCATGCCAGGCTGCTCGCCAGGGTGCCCGGGCATGCCAGGCTGCTCGCCAGGGTGCCCGGGCATGCCAGGGTGCTCGCCAGGGTGCCCGGGCATGCCAGGCTGCTCGCCAGGGTGCCCGGGCATGCCAGGCTGCTCGCCAGGGTGCCCGGGCATGCCAGGCTGCTCGCCAGGGTGCCCGGGCATGCCAGGGTGCTCGCCAGGGTGCTCGCCAGGGTGCCCGGGCATGCCAGGGTGCTCGCCAGGGTGCCCGGGCATGCCAGGGTGCTCGCCAGGGTGCCCGGGCATGCCAGGGTGCTCGCCAGGGTGCCCGGGCATGCCAGGGTGCTCGCCAGGGTGCCCGGGCATGCCAGGGTGCTCGCCAGGGTGCCCGGGCATGCCAGGGTGCTCGCCAGGGTGCCCGGGCATGCCAGGGTGCTCGCCAGGGTGCCCGGGCATGCCAGGGTGCTCGCCAGGGTACTTATGTTCTTGTGTATTTACTAGCACGTTAAAAATTTGTTTTCCCAGCATGCTTTGGTGTGCTTCATTGTGCCTTTACATCAACATCTACATGAGCACACCAACTCTGGTGTGCTCTCTCCACTGTGCTCTTGCATATGCTGGCATTTTTCTAGAAAAGAGAGATTGTAACGTATGCAACGCATAGGGTATGTTTATTCCGCAGTTGTTAAGGATAAGGACACGCTACCCAAGGTCTATTTAAAGGACCTGATCTTCACCCACTGGCTGGCTGCCCGGATTGTTTTGCGTTGAGTGACACGTGTTGCCACTTGCTCTCATAAAGTTTAGTGGTAATCCCTATAAGCCTTTCTTGGAATGGACAACAGTAATAAAATTCAAGGTATTTAGTTCAGGGTCTGTATACATCTCAGACGTCAGGTAAACTTTTTTTATTTTTTAATATACAGTATTATAATTTAGATACTCGGTAATAATAGTGTTTTACAGATAAAAGTAACATCGTACACAAGACTGTTTGTCAATATATTTTAAAACCTACCTAAGCGTACCCAACTTGACCCACAACCTAACCCAGCCCAACTCAACTCAGCCTTACACAGCCTAACCTAAGCTGACATATCCCTTCCTGTCGACATATGTGGTTTTAACAAACGGGAGACAAGTTTTCTCGAATCGTGAACTAAAGTTTTGAACAGTTAACCATACCTCTCTAAAGGCATACAGTATAATATAGCCTAGAAACTGGTATGAAATTAAATAATAAATCCATGAAAATGGGCATAAATGTTGTAATATTTATTAATATTAAGTCAATAGGGGAGATGGTCATTGACTGTGGTGGAGGAGAGTGGAGGGGAGTGCTTAATGTGGGCAATGGTAACACTTGTACCTCTGGCAGGACACCTTGCACATGGTGCCAACTCCTGGGTAAAGCATACCTGTTAGATGAAGAGCAGCTCGAGTTCATGAATGTGAACACAACAGATATCACAAAAGGAAATTCAGTTCAGTCAAAGTATTGGGGGTTGAGTCAGGTTCACACTCTTGAAGATAGATGGCTTGAAAAGTCATCTATCTTGAGATGTTTAGGTTTGGTTACGTCATCTTGAGTTACTGTTTGTTTATATGTAGTGTGAGAGTGAAGGTTGGGCTCGCGAGGTGTTTCCGGCTGCTGCATTCCCTACATTCACCAGTTATTTTTAGCCTTCTCGGTAGCCTTTAAAGATGTCCCTCTGTGGTATGGTCAATATTTAGATTTGCATATTGGTTTGTGAGTATGAATCATATAAACAGTGTATATTCTTCGTTGTCATTTATTAATGTGTGAATAAGATATAACACAAACTCATGCATATATTTACACAGACATGTTATATGTGGATTTGAACTTAATTTTTAGACAATAATTTTTAACATTGCAAAAATTAAAGCCTACAATTTTCATACATTATTGGTTATTTAAGCCAAAAATCTTTATTCTTGAGTATATTTAAATCCTGAAAAATAATTAAAGAATATTTTTTTGTAATTCCTATAAATTTAAATGCAGCTAGCAGTTTAAAATGAATTGCCTCAATGCTGACTAGATAGATTTTTTTTTAAGGAGGGTGGGGGAAGGGGGGGGGGAGGGGTGGAAGAAGTGGGCAGCATTTACCTGGAGTGGGTACACCACAAGTTCTTTCACTCCCTATGACCTGTGATAACATGAACAGTCAGGCTGTTGTTTTTGAAGCATTCCGCAGGCCCGCAGCACAACCTGGTTGGTCTGCCACTGTCTGCAGGAAATTGCCCAATTGTTTCTATGGAGTTGTATGATCTGTTACAGACCACCAGCACTTCCTCACTTGCCTAATTACACCTGTGGAAGGGTCGACCTTGGTCTTCTCTTTTCAACTTTCAGTTGATTGGTACATGGGTTGCAGTCATTTGAGATGTCATACCTATATTTAGAGCTGTATTTAGAGTCTTCCTTCACCACTTCACTTCTTAGTACTGGACATTACATTTGTTCACTATTCTGACATGTGTTTTCCCCCTTACCCCGGCCTCCTCCTCCTCAGGTACCACATACGGCACTACTCCCCCCTCCCTCACTCCAGTACCCCCCATGGCATTTCACCCTCACCCCAGTACCCCACAGCATTTGCCCCTCACTCCTGTAACCCCCCCTCCCCCCCCCACCACCCCCCCCCCCCACCCACAGCCTTTACCCCTCACTCCCCAAGTATTCCTTCCTTTCCCCAAGCATTCCCCTGCTTTATCCCCAAGCATTTACCCCTCACTTACCCCAAGTATTCCCTGCTTTCCCAGCCCCTGGTCTTCTTCCTGCCCCAAGCAGGCCCAAGCGAGACCTAAGCCCTCCATCCCCCACTCCATCTCCCCCCAAACCCCTGTCAACTACACCGCAGGAGGGCGTTCCCTCTCCCCAAGCAATCCCTGCCCCCTCACCCTCAGGACTTCTTCCTGCCCCAAGCAGGCCTGAGCAAGACCTAAGCCCTCCATCCACCACTCCACCTCCCCCTGAACCCCTGGCAACTACCTCACAGGAGGATGAGCCTGTCCAAGTAGCAATGACCATGGAACAACTTCCTACACTTGTGGGGAGTGAGGGTGAAATTGGATATAAGAAAGTGAGCTTCAAGGTAATGTACTCAAACATTGATGGGATTACCAATAAAGCAAGTGA